GAGTGTATGCAACTCATTTTTTCCCTGACTCTTGGCGCCATATGTGCCCGTGCCAGGCCGAAAATGAATGTCATATAAGTAACCCTTGTTAATGCAATGGGGAGCGGTGCTGGAGGGAGGGTGGGGGAGAGGGCACAAGACAGTGCACCATCCACCACTGTAATCATGAATTACGACATACAGTACAAATGAAATACTTTAGAGATGGGTATTAGGCAAAAAGCCGCTTATTGACACATCGCTGCTGTCGCAAAGTCTGAACGCCGCCTAAGACCTTCCGCACGCTATTCTTGCGACATACTGTCGGATTTTTATGGCCTATAGGAAGGTGCTGTAGTGGCGAATGGCATCGTCTAACACGTGCATGGTCCGTGGGTCGCCTTTTGGGTCTACCAAACCTTTAATCGCTTCAGGGTAGGATAGTTATATCAATAGAGACTACTCGCTAGGGAGCATAAAAATATGGAGAAGCACGAGCTGAGCCCTGCTGTTATCTCAGCAGGTCATACCATATTCTCAAGCCACTGCCATTTAAATGAGGGGGCATCCCAAGAAAGGACTGGTCAATCCCGAGACATTGCCCTTTCTAGATTTTTGCGCGTACATTTGAACTAAAGAAGCAGTAATTAGTAATGAATATGAACTGGGCCAAATACACAAGAAGACCAACAAATGATTAACCTGCCTCACGAGCGTGGTTGTTGAAAAACGCTGTAACTAATCCTTCAAAAAAGGTTTCTTGAGGAAAACAAAGAGATGTAAACCCATTGAGGACGTGAGCATCCGCCCAGTAGGGTTAAACTGGGCGCCATGGTCACGCGTAGTTGATATCGCTCATATCGGCGGGGTGGCGTTGGGAGGCGTGGAGTGGGCCCACCCGCGGTGTTTTCTAAAATTGGCTGGATACTCCTCGCACTAATAGAAAACGCAGCTCCTCCCTGACACCTCCCAACTGGATTGATACCATATCAACTATATGCACCCTCTATATACCGGGATGGGGATGGCGTGGCTGGGTGCGGATGGTGTCATCGTAATCAGTCGGGTCAGTTTCGAGAGCGATGGGCTGACTCCACCTGCAGCGTTTCCACCTTTGGTTGTTTCCTTACTAAACCGATCACTACCCGATCACCATTGGTAGAGAAGGTCGGCGGAGGCGGGCTCATCCCACCCTCCTCACACCGCCTCCGACTGATTGCGATGTTGCATATACTGTGGTTTGTGGTATGTGTAAATCCGGTTTTTCCTGAGATATCCTTCATCTGAAGCATGCCTTGGCTATCCTTCTAGTTGGACAGAGGACGTGAATGCAACTATGCGTCCAAAACGAATAGGTTTCTACGTGCAGACGCTCAGGAACTCGCCAACTTAATGCAGGCAAGAATCACACACCCCTGCATCTCGCGCACGTGGAGTGTAATCAAGGTATAATGGTTTGTTTATCCCTGTATGCACATATGGTAAATCCGCGCGGTTATTCGCCATCACAGACTTCGTATTTAGGCCTGGGTAAAGTTTTTGTTACATACAGGGGGGGTCTTAAAAAGACACTTTCGCTGGGCCACATATCAATGAAGTTTACGCAGCCCAGATAGAAGCGTGGAAACGAGCTCCAGGGCGAAAGATACCCAAGATGTTCCTCGATAAGCAGGAGCAGGCTCTCGCCCATCACCTTCATGTACACCAAAATATGACGTCATCTCCAATCGACTGGAGAAGGCCTTCCGGAATTTCATGTCACCTCCAAACAGCTGCGAAACTTCTTGTATGGAGTCACCCATGGATAGCTACCTGGAGACCAGTACTCTTGATCTGGAAGACCTCCAACATCGAGCAGCTCCGACAGCGTCGCTACGGTCCAAGATATCATCTCCACCGCAGCGCCAAGGCGGCTGTTGCTGGTATGGCGCGGGACGTCGGAATGGGAAGACCGATATTTCTTCGTGGACCCCGGACTGAAGGTGAGCGCTGACGGTTACATCGACCAACTCGTGGAGAATATCCTGCCTTCATGTCATCGCCTGTACCTTCTTGGAAACTTCGTACTGCTACAGGATTGGGTGCCACCACATGGAATCGAAGAGCGTTGGAAAAACTCTCGCCTACTCGGAATGGAAGGACGTTGAGTACCTGAAGGAAGACGAAATATCCAAGTGTGCCACCAGACCTATGCCCCCTCGATTACCGTATTTGGGAGGAGCTCAACAGGGTGGTCTACAGTGGCGGAGAATTCAACGACCTCGCTTAAAGGCAGCGCCCGCGTTCAAATTTGATGAGTGTGCGACTCAGGTAGTAATAGCAAGGTAGCAAGAAACCTATTAGTGAAGAAAAATTAAAAAGAAAACATGCAAAATGCCCTATAAGGAGTTTCATACCGAATAGCGGTTGTACGTGCTTAAGGCGAAGAGAAGGAGTGGTTGCACGAGTTCTCACTTGTTGATTTCAGCTGTTTCCCCTTATCACCTCACTCTCACCATTCGAAGTGGAGAGAGTTAGCAGCAGAACAACCGCACCATCAGGCAACCATTAGAAATGAAGTTGGGCGTCGTGGTCGCCAGGTGGGCGGGGCGGTCGACTCTTTACTAGCGATAGGCGCTATCTCGCCTTTGTGAGATGCAAAACTAGTACATACTGCATCCTTATGGGGAGGGCTATGATATCCAGAAAGGGCGTAGGAACATCAAGTGAACGTGGGCGCTGCCTTTAACTCAGGCACCGAATCACGGTCGCGTGGCAGAATCTCTCGATGGCGATCGTCCAGAAGGCTGTGGCGGAGTTTCGTGATCGTGTACAATGTGCTGTTGAATTTGATGGTGGAAATGTCCATCAGAATTTAATGAAGTGTAACTTATTTCGCTTTGAAGTCGAGGAAAAAAAGTGTTTTTCCTGTCCCCCCCCCCCCTGTAGTTGAACTGTAGGCTAGAATCATTATAAATCGTAAACAAAAGCAGTTTTCATTTTCATTGGAATTAGATACGAATGAACTTCTTCCGTTACGTTCAATCACACATTGACGAGCTTTAGAAAAAAAATACATATTGCTAAAAATCAATAAATATCTCTCATGCTTATGATTTACTCGAGTATGTCTTGAAACTTTGATGGCATTTGTCTCGTTCGCTTACGATCACTTTATCGGTCAATGGCCATTCCACGTTTATATCGTTGTCAAAGGGATCAATACCTGAAATTTGTGGTCTTCATATGGAAGTCAAGATAAAAGTTGAATCGTTACTGCATTCTACCGTATTCTGTCTTTGGATCGTATACAGCTGTGCATTTGTAGACGACATGGGCTCCTTCCTCGGATAAGCACTGAAATACTTGCTCCATACTATTTGATAGGATACGAAATATTTGAAATGCTATTTAATACGATGCGATATTCAAGCACTGTACGCCTACCTGCGAATAGGATCCGTGCCATGTGCCTGACAGACAGGTCTGCAGCTTAGTGTGTATCACTTTCTTCATTCGAAAGCTCGCGGAAACGAGACTGGAGGGTTGTGATAGCTGGATGCCGTTTTGGACTCCACCCACTATGCACAATGTGCGGTACATGTGTCGCTACGACGGTTTCGCAGCGAGCAATGTAGAAAGCGAGCGAACGTAAGAGTGCGCAGGCAACTAGCGCGTTTGACTACAGTTAGGCGTGTGCCTGATCGTGTGGCACACTGCGCGCGCGTTCTTTGCCTGTGGGCAGGATCCGGAATGGCGTCTGACTAATTATTATTCAGCCTCATTTCGGCGCACTTTCGAGCGACGAAATTGGCACTCTATAGCTGTAGATCCATTCACCTTGCACATGGCAAGTATTAGGCTGTCGGATCCTCGAAGGCACAGTTCGCGCGTTATGCAGGGCGGACCGGCGCCTGTTGTTTTACCCCACTGATTTTTTCGCTCCCCTTACTATCCTACCTTTACAGCGAGCGGCTCATCAAGTCGCAGCAGCCTAGTAAGATGAAAAGTAATACCTAATAGTCGAATATCTGGGGTATTTTCATTTGTATTAGGTTGTCGCATAAGTTCTGCCAGCGTAGCTTGATCCTCGTCCTATTCGTTGGCATGGATGTTGTTACGTCATCACGTGTGCGTGACGTGTACATTATACTCTTTCATTACACTAGCTATCACTCACCGAGCTTGCATTTGCAGTACACAATGTCGCACAATTACCACTGTGACAGAATGTACCTGCGCCACTGCCTGGTTTTGCTTAACGATTCACAAAAGAAGCTTCACTCTCTCAACTCGATAATCACTGTTAAGCATTGCAGAAGTGGTCCTCTACGATAACCCTGTGAGGAAGCGGCAGTGGGTCGACAAAGGAGAACAGCCAGAAGCCACCCCAAAGGCCGACCTTCACCCCAAAAAGGTTCTCCTGTCCTGTTGGTGGTCCTTCAGAAGAATGGAAAAAAGAAAAAGGGCCCATGGAGTAGTGGGGAGCTGCTGGGGAAAGAGGGACAGACGATTGACGCTTCCACATACGTGACCCAGCTGCGGAAATTGAAAGATCACGTCGACCGTACTCGTGGAAGGAATGCGGAAATCTACTTCCACCATGACAACGCCCGACCTCACACTGCAAAGGCGACCCAGGCCGAGCTGGAGAAGTACGGATGGCTGATGGTCGCCCACCCTCCCTACAGCCCTGACCTCGCTCCTTCTGACTACTGGCTGTTCAGCCACCTGCAGCGCTCTCTGGACGGAAAAAAGTTCGAAACAAAGGATCAGGTCAGAAAGGCACTCGACGACTTCTTCAAGTCCCAGCCCCCGTCGTTCTGGAAGGAAGGAATCGACAAGCTGCCTGAGCGCTGGCGTCGAGTAGTGGATGGTGATGATGCATACCTCTAATCTTCAGGTTGGTTCGCTATTGAGATATTTACGAAAAAATCGTGTATAAAACTTATGCGACAACCTAAGAGATGGTGCACCGCCTTAACGCCGCTGCACTACATCCACAGGGGCTACCCAAAATCCCCGATAACTTATACGACATTCATTTTTGGCGGAAGGCAATTAGCGCCAAGAGAAAGAGCTAGAAATGAAAACCAAATTCAGGGATCAGGGTTTTAGTTTACCACGAAGAGCAATTTTGTAATGAACTATAAAAAAATCGATGGCGATTGGTTGCCGGCATCAGGTGTGCCGCCAAATGGTGCCATGCCGTGTGAAATAAGTGTCACGTCTGTGATCGGAACAACCAGAAACACTAGAGACAAATTCTCAGAGAAAAAAGGTTCTTGAGATTATGGGGTCGTTATTCCTGACAACAGAAAAATTCCTGTTTCGCACTTGTTATATAATACGCGCTGGATCGCTCACGATACTGGCTTGTGGTTGCCTTTGATATTGCGGTGACATCGATGAGGAAAGAATAACTGAAGGGCACTGGACATCGTTGTTGGGGAGTTCCCAATAGGGGGGGGGTCGTATTTGGGCTTTGAAAAAATGTTTCAGGGCGTGTGTGAGGAATGGTCGTATTTGCTTGCGTAGTGGGAGGAGGGGAGGGGGGGTGTCTTATTACCCTTCTAGCTTTCTGAGAGACATTCCCTGACCTTTCGTGGTTTTTGCTGTTCCATTGTACTATATACCCCCTCACCCCTCTCCCGCCACGAGAGCAAGATTTTTGGGTAAAAGCTGGAAAATTTTCGGGTCTAAGATAGGGTAAGTACGATGAGGAGGGGGGGGGTCGTACCAACCCCCTTAAAAGAGAGGGGGGGGTCGTACGAACTTGACCGAAGTCCCCAACCAATGACGTGCCCTGCCGAAGGGACAGGTATCGAGGGTTCTTGTGAAATTCTCCAATGGTATCGCTTTACCCCGATTTATACTGAGGTTTACAAAAAATTCAGTAAAAATGCACAAGTATGAACCCCAATGCCAAAAAGGGACTCTGTCCATTTGATCAGCGTGGAATGTGCCTTTGAAGTGACGGTGTTTATTTGCAGCGATTTTTGCTACTAAACAAAACAGGCTGATAGTTGGTAGTACCTGAAATCCATGGCCGAATCCGTCAGGGATCCAAAATGCATGATTATTCGTACTGTTCAGGATTACACCGTGCCACTGCCCGAAAGTAGCACTTCCAGGCCGCAAATCCACAGCGACGTCAAAAATCTCGCCAGAAACCTCAAATCGCAGTACTCTACTATTAGAGAAAACAGTAAATTACAAGTGAAACACCACAAAATGATGGCTAAGCTTCAATAGAAAGTAGCTCAGTCGTCGACTTATTCAACCCTTCCGATTCCAGCCTTTCTAGACTGGTTCACATAATTCTCAAAGTTTGTAGAATATACTTACCACTGATACAAGTTTTCCCATTCCAGGTTGTGAGTGAAGGCCTCGTAGCACGCCTTTTACGGAGTAGGAATGATTATCCACAAAGACAAGCAAGTTAAGGAATTACAATTCCTTTTCTATTAGGTCATCCCATTCAAACGTGCCGCTACATATAGAGGAATGGCAGAAAAGCAAAGGGGATAGAGCAGCGGGCTACTATACCATTTGGAAGCTAGTACCTTAAAGACACATGGTACGCTCAAACACATTGAGGGTGTATGAGACTATCAGCCCCCAGCTGTCGATGTGTCGTGGTTTCCCCGCCCGAAACTGCACGGGGTCCGAGTACGGGACCGTGGGAAAGGCTTATTCCTTGCTACGCCGCCCGAAATGCAACTTGCGCGCGGCGAAATGCAACCTGCGCGCGGTGCATTTTGGGCGGCGTAGCAAGGAATAAGCCTTTCCCACGGTCCCGTACTAGGAACCCCGTGCAGTTTCGGGCGGGGAAACCACGACACATCGACAGCTGGGGGGCTGTTAGTCTCATACACCCTTAATGTGTTTGAGCGTACCATGGTGTCTTTAGCGTATCTGTGAAATTTGGCGAACCTAGCCCCAGAAGAAGTTCTCGAGAAATTGAAAAGAAGCCCGAGTGGTGAAAATCGGCGCCGGTTTTTCAAATCAGGTGTCATAACAGGAAAGTGCGCTGCTCAATTTCGAGTGGCACCGGACCAGTAGTTGTGTATAATGGTGTTCTTGAAGTACAAGGTGAAAGTTTGGTTCAGGAGCCCGAAGAAGGAAGAGAGGAAAAAAATTTGTGTTCTGGATGGTCCCATAATGTTGACCCTGTACAAAGGAACAAGGCGTGGTGAAGTTCAGGCACTGAATATCTTGATCGCAGAGCCGTTACCTTTGTCGAGTTTCCCCGCGAGACTGACATCCCTGCTGCAATTACTGTACGTGTTATGACCGAAAACTGAGGATGGTCAAGAGGGTGTGCGCATGGGTACCTAATTTTCTTATAGAAGCACGAACGCAGTACCGATTCTATACCTCTAGCAGTAATGTTCTCAGCATGAGATGTCACTCACAACTGTGAAAACGCACCCAGGCCTTAGATGAAATATGGGTGGTCTCGGACCTCGAGCCGAAACTCACAATCGTCAATTTTGTATGAATGCAGATGAGAAGCCGCCCGAGTTCTACCATGAGGAATTACGTGGGCGCAAGTGGATGATCATCATAGCAAAGGATTCCCACACTGTGGCTTTCAGGCGGCTCTATACAGAGAATAAAATCGGCGCTGTCGGTGTATATTGCCTGTTCCTCGGCAATCAGATCGACAAATGGATGATACCACACAACTACAAGAAGGCCACCGTTGCTCGTCATAGTGCCAGACCCCGAGTAACTGTATTGTAGGGCAGTGCTGGGACACAAACAATGTACGTTGAGACTGCGGCTTCAATCGCCCCATTGGCTTAACATAAAGCCGTTCGCCCCCCAATTCCCAACTGATCTGGTTAGCTCGGGGTACTCTGATTGACGGCAAACGCTTGCCAGTGCTTTGCCATTTGCCTGAAACTTGGCACCAAAGCAGCAAAACTACCCACATTTTGCTTGAAAAATGGAAGGTACCAGAAGCCGTCCAAAGGCTTTCGGGCCTGTGAGCGGGTCATTTGTGAAGGAGGATTTATATTTGGACCTAAGGCTAAAAATATTTACTTTTTTTTGTCTATTCTCCGTCTTTGTATTCAAATACTTCAATATATTAAAGTGAAAACCGGCCCGGCACGTTTCAATGGGATGACTCTAAACATAATCAAAAGATTTTTAAAGGAAAGGATGGGTTGGTCGAAGTGGCCATTTGAAACAAGATGTATACTCTCTGATGCGTCTTCGGACGCTGATTTCAAATCTGCTTTCCATATCTGCTGAACGATTCTTTGAGCAGAGATATGCAGGAGGTTGTTGTACGGAGCACAGTAGAGCTTGGTATACAAATAAGACGTGAGTCGCCACACGGTGTGCCTCGGTAGCCTAGCTGC